ACACACACACACACACACACACACACACACACACACACACACGCCCCCACCCACACACTACCCCCTCTCGTCTCCCGCGTTTAACCCATACGAGATTCCGCGAAATCTCTACAGCTCTCAACGTTTCTCAATTATTCCTCGTCCACTTGAAAATCTATTAAAAGTCGGCGCGGATTTTCATGATATATATTCTCGGGCTGCTGCTGCTGCTGGCGAAGCTGGCTGGCTGGCGGCAGCGTGTCACATTTCCGCCCAAAGCAATTACATCAACTCTTACCGTCTCACCGACAATTCCATTGTAGGGCTGCGCGGCTCGCAGCCGCCCAGCCTGGCTCCGAGCTTCATAAGCACGCACGCACGCACGAACGCACGCACGGACGGACGGACGGACGGACGCACGCACGCACGCACGCAGGCATGCACGCACGCACGCACGCACGCACGCACGGACGGGCGCATGGACGGACGGACGGACGGACGGACGGACGGACGGACGGACGGACGGACGGACGGACGCACGGACGGATGCACGCACGGACGCACGCACGCACGCATGGACGCACGCACGGACGCACGCACGCACGCACGCACGGACGCACGCACGAACGCACGCACGCACGAACGCACGCACGGACGGACGGACGGACGGACGCGCGAACAGGCGCACACACGGATACACGGACGCACACGAGCGCACGGACGCATGCACGTACGCACGCACGCACGAACGCACGGGGGGTGCGCGTGGGCGCACATACACACGTACGGACGGACACACGCCCGGGGAGTATCCCTCTCTGCCTTTTCCACATCTGGCATTTTTACACCTTCCGCTTGCTCCTCATCGACCTTCCTTTACCAGCACCGACCCCCTTTTGCATCGATATTCCCGGTCCATTCCATTTCCACCCTTCCCCACACTCATCCCCTTTTTTTTCGGTGAGCTCGTCCTGGCTGTTTAAAATGAGAGAAAAACGCCTCGCTGCCTAAAATTGGTCTTACAGTGCATGCAGAGAGATAGAGAGAGAGGCGAGAGAGAGAAGAGAGAGGAGAGGAGCAGAGAGAGAGAGAGGC